GTAGGGAAATAAAACTGGGTCTGGTTTGTAAGCTCAAAACCAAATTTTTTTTTCCTTTTCCTTTTCTTTTGGTGCAGTGCCTTTGGAATAGACGATAAAGGTAACAACAAAACTTTTTATTCGGCTACTCACTGGTCTGAGCACTCGCAGGACTTCCTTCAGGGTGCCGTTCACGTTGCTCACGGAGCAGAGGGCCAAGGTGCAGACGACGGCATCCACAGACCCGCTGGGCACCTGGCGCAGGTCTTCTCCTGCCGCTACGAGGAAACGCTCGTAGTGGATGTGCTGGTTCTTTTTCATACTTCTTGAAAGGCCTTGCTGGAAGTTGGGGTTTATGTCGGTGCATGTGACTTTGCAGCCGGGTGGGTAGAACTGGAAGTTAGTGCCGCAGCCGGTCCCGATCTCCAGCAGCTTCAGCTCTCCCGAGGGGCCCGTGAAGTCAGGGAGATTACGAAATAGCTCCTGCTTCTGCTTTTTTGTTTTCTTTTCGAGAACCGCTGCAAGCTTCTCTAAGAAGAGAGGAAAAAAGATCTTCTTACAGAAAGGCTCCCATATGCCCAGGAACGACAGCAGGTAGATGGGCATGGCAAGCAGCGCGAGGCAGGCACGGAGGAGGAGAACGCTGGCCGCCGTCATTTCCAGCGTGGGGCAGAGGATCCGCGCTGAGCAAAACTAGTTCTTGCACGTGCCAGAGCCCTCGGAGTTCAGAGCTGCATGCGTGTACTTGCCGTGTTCCTCTTCAAGTGTGTTCAGCTCCTCAGCCCGATCCAGTAGTCTTTTCTCCAAAGCTGATTTTCAAGTCCGCTCACAGGCAAGGAAGGGAGAAACAGGGCTGCATACCAAACAGTCACTGTAGCGTCCCAGCTCGGCAGAAGAGGAACTGCCAGTCTGTTACGTAAACTGGATAAACTGGGCAGTACAACTTTGTATGTAGCCACTGGCAAAATGTCATAAAGTGCCCTAATTTGGTGTTGAGCAGTTTCAGGTTACAGGGCGTCTCTCTTAGAGCAACCCTGTGTTGTCTGGAAGGAAATCTGTCTGAACTCTGGATTTGCTGCAGGCGTTTCATTAGGAGTTTGATTAACATTTGAGAGTTAATTGACCAGCCCGTTGTAAGTAGCTGGATGAGCTGAGCAGCTACTTGCTCTGTGCCCTCTCTGCAACAGCAGTTTTCAGCCTTTCCACTTTGTGAACACCTAAAACACCTTGGCGTGCACGTATGGGCTCCTTTGCAGTGAACGAGCTTGCTTTTCTTCGTTAGCTTTCAGACCTTTGGTGGGAATCGTGGAACAGAGATAAAGCAATTTATTAATCCAAGAGTCGCTGTGTACAGTACATGGCTTGGGTTTATTCACTTCCGAAGTTCCACAGTGAACGGTCCGTTCTCTGCCAAACGCATTTCTGTGAAACTTCTTCAGCTTTGCGGTCGCCGCTGCTTCTGCGAAGGGCTCGGCAGCAGTGCAGGGCAGCCGCTGGCGCTTCGTTGCTCTGCTCCCAGTGAGCCGAGTCTGGGGAAGGGAGGGCTGAAGGGCCCTGCTGAAGGCAGTTCTGCTGTGAATGGCGTTGGAGAGTCTGGGTTTTCGGTTGGGGGATAGGGTAGTCGCGTGGTCCGATGAGTTACCTCCTCCCTCTAGTGGTAATAAAGCAAAGATAAAATCCAGCTTCGTTATTAGACTGCTTCATTAACGAACTCTGTTGCTGTACCTTCATACCTCCGCTTTGTGGCAACTGCATTAGAGAAACAAATTTGAACAAGGGGAATTACTTCCCGTGTAGACCAGTTGGATGTGTACGGAGCACAAAATAGAGACTTTAATACATTATTTCCTTATGATCTCTACCAGGTTTTAATTGCTTGCTGCTGTATTGCAGGAAATCCTAGAAAAGGTTAAAGAGTGGCCAAAAGAGCAGCACCTTCTGTTGGTGTCCTACGGGAGTTTCACTGGAAAACATTTCTGATGAAACTCCAGGCTTTTAAGAGAGACCCCTTTAAGGTGTGAGCTGGATTGGAGGGAGAGTAGAAAACAAAGAATTTAAGCGTAGGTAAAACACGTTAGTAAAGTGTGACCAAAGGGCTCTAAGGACCTGGCTAATGTAGTAACAACATTTTACAGTGGAGATGAGATTTCTGCCATCTGACTTAACAAATGCCAATTTTCTCCCCGTGTTTTTCTCCCAAAACAAGAGAAATTCTGTTTTTTTGCTTTGTATGTGGCTGTTTCAAGTTAAATCTGTGCTGATAGCGTTAGCGTCTAACGGCCGGTGAGAACTGTGCCTGGTGAGCTGGTGCTGTAACGAGCACTTCCCTGAATAAACCACCGTCCTTTCAGGGAGGACTGTACTGGCAGGGGCAATGGAACGCCTGCTCGTAAATGTATTTCATAATGGGAAGACTGAAATGAAAACGCTCGGACCGATGCCGTATCTATTATGCATGTGTCCTGTGTTGGAAACGTTAGAGGTTGGGGATTATTCTCCGCCCTTAGAAAACTGTTAATCCTGTGTAGTGCCTTGCAGGCATCTTCTGTTCCCTTTCCTCCCTCTCCCCTTTCCCAGCTCTCTGAGACGCCAACTCCTCCTTTATTCGTATTGGGCTGAAATGTGTTGTCTGGACTTCATTCTCGTTTGCCCGGTCCCTGTGCAGCAGCCCTGTTGCAGAGCTCTGTCCAGAAAGAATCCAAATGGGAGAGCGTGGTTCCCCGTTTGAACGAGCTGTGGACGCTCAGGAGGTTTTCCATAGTTTTATTCTGGATAGCCAGCTGCTGCATATGGGCTGACCGTAGGAGTGAAAAACCTTCTAGAAAGCATGAAAGGAGTCCTGAAGGGAGGTGCTGTGTCCTGCAGTGCTCGTGGTCATTTATTTTCACAGGATCACAGAATGGTTGGGCTTGGCAGGGACCCCTGGGGATCCACCAGCCCAACCCCCTGCCCAAGCAGGGTCACCCAGAGCAGGCTGCACAGCACCGCGGCCAGGCGGGGCTGGAATATCTCCAGAGAAGGAGACTCCACAGCCTCCCTGGGCAGCCTGGGCCCGGGCTCCGTCCCCCTCCGAGGGCAGAA